GATAACCCGACAGTTCCTTATTTTGCTCCAAAACTAACTCATAGTCTTCCTGTTTACTGTCCAGTTTTTGTTCAGTTGCTGTCTTGCTAAATTTTAAATCTTCAATTGCTGCCCACAGCTCTTCACATCTTTCTTTTAGTTTTCGATTTTCTTCTGATAATGATTTGACATATTCGTTGTTTTCTGTTAGTAGCTGTTGAGTCTCAGCTGCATTAATTACTTCATGTTTGAAAACAGTAATATGCTTAACTTTAGCAAGATACTCAGTCCTTAAACGTCCATTAAGCGATCGACATTTATTTTTTGCATCCCCACCTCTTTTTCTAAGTATGTTATTAATCCTTTCGCTTTCGTGCAGTTGAACTCCATGCTTTGATATAAACGCATTTAGGATTTCTACAAACGAATACTTGCTCAATGATCCATTTTGTGTTAAATCGTACCAACTTCGTAAATGCTCATTCGAGATGTCAATCGTAAGCGCTATATCATGGGTGTTCACGGAATCTTTTTTTGCAAAGCTAAGACATAAGTCAGAGGAAAGTGAAATTGTTTTCACAAATTTATTTAAATCGAATTTATCTAGAATGTCAGACTGTTCAGACATTTATTTGCATAACTGCATATTCATGTTCAAATTTTGGCGCTGCAAGGCGCGAAGCGAACGACTGGATATGGGTGGTAAATGGCTTTAGCAGAGGTTAAATGTGGTTAAATGACGCATTTTGCCCACAATTAACAACCTTTATCCGCATTTAACCTCACTGTAAAGAAAGCTTGGTCTCTAAGCTTCTTGTTGATACTAGACATGGCCGATCTTTTGCAAAAAATCAATGTCAGTTTAACAATATTTACGGGCGTTTGGTACGTATTTTGTTTATTACAAACCATGGATTTTCATGTTTTTTACTGCTAAAATGTACGGTGTTAGAAAATTTATATCACCTTGTAAATTTAACGAGAAATACTTCATCATTTGTTGTTTACGACAGGAGGTTGGCAAATATGACATGAAAAAAGGCGACGATGACAATTCGGAATAAAGGGTTCATCTTGGGGCGATTTGGGACTAGAACTATATAAATATTAGCATTCAAGTCGACACAGAATCCGAATAAAAATGTACGCACTTAACAGTATGTAATGGCTTTGCTTTTTACTACGTTTGATTACCGATGTTTTTCTTGTACCGCTCATACGTTGGCAAACCGTTTGTTTGTAATTTAAGACGCTCAAGTTTCGAAAAATTCGCTTTCCCTATATAAAATGAGTAGCATGCCAGCCATATTTATTTACTGAGCTACGAGCATGCTCAGTTGCAACGTCTCAAATTTCTGATGATGACGTCGGAAGCATGAATGCGGAGTAGTTGGGTCTTGAAATCCATGCAGATGTAGGTCATATTAATCTACATGATCACTTAACACCGAAAATTCAAGAGCTTTTATACAAAGGCTAATGATTTCAAATATTGCTGGGCGAAGAATGGTCGTGTTATCTGCAAAAGATGGACAATTCAATATCGTTTTAAACACTCATAAACATGCTACTTCATATAAAATACTTTAATATAAAAGCCCGTGCATTTTCCCTGATCCCTGCTACTAACTCTTGACGAAGGGTCTTCGCTCGAAACGTTGAGTTTCTGCTTATTTTGTAAGGTAGTAATATAACCACTCAGCACAGCATTTTTACTTCATAAACATTGTTGTAGAAACAAAGCTGGAGTGAGGGCTGCTAAGTTATTATTAAAAGAACTGCCCTATTTTAACTTTAGAGGTGATTTAACACGTTGCCACAGACATTTTAATAATTTAATTCCTACTGCATGCAAAACTAGAAGCAACTTAGACAAATTAACTAGCTTATATGACTTAGATGTCTTTGACCTAAACAATAATTTGGATAATATGCTAAACACTGAACATAATCTCTTTAAGTTCTCTGAATGTTTGCATGGCGATAAAATATGATTGTTCTTGTTTGTGGAAACACCATGTGCAGTAATAAATTTACGTGGTGTTTCCACAAACAAGAACAATTATAATCTCTTTAATCAGCCTATCCAAAGACAAGGTTGATATTTCTCTTCACATAGTTTTAAATTGGCCAGTCAAAAGCTTTCCGAGAAAGAGATCTAGTTTTTCGATTTTTCACAATAATATTGTGAGCATAAATCGTAATCTAGAACATTTAACTGTGCTATTAGATGAACTTGACTTTCATTTTAGCATAATTGGAGTGACAGAAACAAAAATTACAAAGTCAAACGAGAGCAATTTTCACCCAACCATACCAGGCCATTGTTTTGAGCACGCACCAACACCATTAGCTTCTGGAGGTGCTGGTTTGTTTATTGATAAATCTTTAAATTATATTGTCCTTGAAAAAATCACTAATGAGGCGTTTCAAGCACTTTGGATTGAAATACCCTTTGTTAACCATAAAAATATTGTATGCGGATTCATTTATCGGCAACATAATTCTCCTGAGTATTTTCAAAAATATTTTGAAGATAAAATTGAATAGTAAAATAGTATCCAGTGGTAAAGCTGTTTATGTCATGGGGGATTTTAATGTGGATCTTCTTAAATGCAAAAGATCTCAAATAAGCCATGATTTTTTATTATTCATTACAAAGTTGTTATCTCATTCCAACAATAGATAAACCTACACAGAACTTCTGCTACATTATCTCTGGGTTAGAGATACAAAAACAATCCTTCTCTCGATTCGGTGTTAAACTTTGGAATGGAATACCATATCATATAACGATTCTATCTAAGAAACTATTTAAAAAGACTCTTCGGCAACTACTTTTTGATATTTTGGAAAAAGAAGATGACTACATTCAAATCCCCACGATAATGGGCCTTTCCCCTTATAACTAAAATTTCGATCTAGACAAAAATTTCATCACAGCTTGAAAGAGCATCACAAAATTAATAATATTCCTAAGTTTTGTTGCAAAATCTTGTAAAATGTGGATAATATAGCCTTGCGAAGTTTGCCATTTTTCAGTCATTTTGTATTACTAACGGGAAATTGACATCCGATTCGGGTGTTGGGGCTGCAATTTCCCGTTTGTAATCTAAAATGACTGAAAATTGCAAACTTTGCAAGGCTCTATTTTCCTCATTTTACAACATTTCACAACGAAACTTTGGAATATTACTAATTTTGTGATGCTCTTTCAAGCCGTTATGAAATATTTGTCTGGACTTGCCTAGATCAAAATTTTTCAAAGCTTGTAAAGCTCCCAATTTATTTCAAAATAAAATAGTCGACAGATAAATAATTAGATTTTCCTCCATTTTTCCTTAATAAGTCTGAAATTGCTTTTGTTTTCTCTGTAAATAATAATAAATAATTTCTGTAATTATAAATACTTCTTTCTTTTGTCTTATATGATTGTATTATTTTTGTATTTATCTTGCCTTGCCTCGACTAGCTCTGTAGCTACTTGCAGGGTAAGTTATTTTTGTATTAAGGAGGCTCCCTAAAGTTCCGTGCGGGATGTTCACGGGACAAGTACGTGAACTATCCCATGCAACTGCATGATCAAAACAAAACAAAAATTGACCATGCTTTTTTTTAAAATAAAGCTACTTCTGAAAGGTTTCTAATAGAAAAAAGCGTTGAATAATACTTCGTTTTGAGTGCCAAATTACTTGCGAGTCTATACAGCAATTCTACATATGATACTGTTATGTTTGTACATCCGTATGTATAACATTTATTAGACTAACACTAATGTGAGTACAGCAACTCTTATATAGCTAAGTTTATACATAAATTAACATATTAAACAATAATACAACATCCCTCTTCTTAAATAAGAAAAGTATCTATACTAATCTATATACGTATAAGTTGGGTTTTTTTTGTTCTTTTTAAGTCATTATTCTAAAATTATCTAATTGATCTAAAGTTTAATTAATTGTCAAACAACTATTATCTAATGTTCATAACTAATAGTCCTTATACCTATTTGGTTTCCTAATTATTCTTCCACTTCTAGTCTTTAGTGGAGATGCACTAAATTGTTTATCAAGTGTTACTGGTAATTGTTCCTCTGATGTTTCTTCTGTAGATACTGCATTATCACCATCATTTGCTGGTTCTGTACCAACTGCATTCTCTTCATTGCTTTGACTAATGGGATCATCACAATCTTCTTTTCCAAATGACTGTGAATTTCCTTCTTTCGTCTTGAGAATGTGTTTCCTGTTTCTTCTGTAAGTGCTTCCATCTGGACTTTGCACGATATATGACCTTGGTGTGTGTGCTTGACTAGTTACCACAGCTGGATTCCATATTTTTCCTTGCTTTATGCGAACTTGCTCGCCTGGTGATATTGTAGGAAGTTCTTTGGAGCCTCGGTCATAATACAGTTTCTGAAAGGTTTTCTTAGTTATTAACTTCGAACTCGCTAGATCTTCATCAATGACTTTAGGTTGTAACAGAGACTTCGTTGTGGGAACAACAGATCTTAATCTTCTGCTATCAGTAATTGCGCTGGTGAACCAATCTGATCAATGGGTGTATTTCGATATTCTAAAATACTAACGTAAGGATCTCTTCCATCTCTGTTTGCTTTGTTTAATAAGTTTTTGACAGTCTGCACAGATCTTTCAGCTAGACCATTATCTTGTGGATGGTATGGACTGGTCGTCGTGTGTTGAAAATTTCACTCTTGCGAAAACTTTCCAAATTCTTGTGATGTGTACTGCGGACCATTATCACTCTTTACTTCTCTAGGAATCCCGTGTCTGGCGAATATAGATTTCATGTAAGTAACCAAAGTGCTGCTCTTAATATCTGGCAACTTCGCAATCTCAAAATAACGTGAAAAATAGTCCACAACTAATAGATAGTTTGAATTGTTCCAGTAGAACAAATCAGTGGCGACAGTATCCCATGGAATCGTGGGAGTTGGTTGAACTATCATGGGCTCTTTCTGGTTTGATGGTCGATATTCTAGACAGTTAGGACATTTCAAGACCATTTCTTCTATCTGTGAATTCATCCCTGGCCAATACAGAACATCCCGTGCACGTTTCTTGCATTTTTCGGTTCCCATGTGTCCAGCATGAATCTTTTCCAACATTTCTGGTCGAAAGGAACTTGGGATGATAATCTTTTCATTCTTCAAAAGAATATCATCAATCTCTGAGATTTCCTCTCTACAATGCCAATACTCCTTAATTTTGACTGGTGTTTCTCGTTTTGTATCTGGCCACCCGCTCAAAACGGTCTTCTTAAGCTGCCGTAGTAATTCATCTTCTTCTGTGGCCATCCTGAGTCTCGCCATCATGTCATCGGTCGCAGGAAGATTGAACATTACCATGTGAACATAGCAAGATATTTCTTTCTCTAACTCTGAATCTGTAGTGGGAAGTGGTGCCCGTAATAGAGTGTCCGCTACCACAAGATCCTTGCCCGGCTTATGCTTGCAGGTAAAATCATATTTCTGTAATCTTAACAACATCCTTTGCAATCTGAGAGGAGCATCATGTAAGGATTTCTTTAAAATGATCTCAAGTGGCTTATGGTCATTTTCTACAAGAACTTTCACGCCATAGGTGTACGAATTGAATCTTTCAAGAGCAAATAAAACAGAGAGTAGTTCTTTCTCAATCTGTGCATACCCGGTTTCTGCTTCAGTCATAGAACGAGACGCATAGGCAATTGGTTGTTCTTCCTGGATCAGAACTGCACCAAGTCCATTCTGCGAGGCATCACAACGCACTATAACCGGTTTAGTTGGATCAAAAAACTTTAGAACTGGTTGCTGGGTAAGAATTTCTTTAATCTCATCAAAAGCTTTTGTCTGCTCGTGCGACCAATAGAACTCGATATCTTTCTTCAGCAGTTCTCTGATTGGCGCTGTTATCGTTGCTAGGTTAGGTACAAATTTTGCTAAGTAATTTACAGTTCCAAGTAATCTTTCAATCTCCTTCTTCGACGAGGGTGTTGGCATATCTTGAATTGCTTTAATCTTCGACTCGTCAGGTTTCACACCGTCTTTCGTGAAGTTGTGACCACAATACGATACTTCATTCACATTGAACTTGCACTTGTCTATATTTAACGTGAGGTTTATTTCTTCACATCGTTGTAAGGTGGCTTCTAATCGTGCGTCGTGCTCTTGTTCATCAGATCCCCAAATGAGTATGTCATCAATCTCAGTGGCTACACCTTCGAGGTCATCAAGATGCTGCGAAATTCTCTTCTGGAAAACTTCCTGCGCAGATTTAATGCCGAAAGGCATTCTCGTAAAACAATATCTGCCAAATGGTGTGCTGAACGTCGTTAGAAGTTGGCTTGGCTCATCCAATGGTATCTGTCAATAACCATGTCTTGCATCTAGTTTGGAGAACACTTTCGCACCCGATACCCGAGACGCTATTTCTTCTACCGTTGGTAATTGGAAATGTTCCCGTCTGATCGCTTCATTTAGATGCTTCGGGTCTAGGCATATTCGTAGTCTCCCCGTGCCTGGTTTCTCCACTATTGCAATTGAGTTGACCCAGTCAGTCGGTCTGTCCACTTTACGAATAACTCCTTGCTTCTCCATATCTTCTAACTCAAGCTTTAAACGACCTTTTATTGCTACAGGAACTTTTCTCGCTGCATTTATTACAGGTGATACCTCCGGATCCAGTTCAATGTGATATGGCTCCCTCAGGCAACCCAAGCCTTTGAATACATCGGAGTATTTCTCCTTAAGATCTCCCTCTTTATTAGTGCTCATCACAACTCTTTGATTATGTCGAGTTCTTGCGACGCTTGAAAACCCAGTATAGGATACTGATCTGTTTTGCTCACGAAAAAATTCAGCCGTCTGTTCATACATTTCAACGTGCATTTGCCAACAAGATTAAGCTTATCTCCAGTGTAGCTTGTCAATGAGGTCCTTGATGCCTGAATTGATTCTTTAGGTCCTTTCAATTCTCGGTACATCGACATGGGAATTATGTTCGCTTGAGATCCTGTGTCAACCTTAAACTTGATCGGTGTTTCATTAACCTCTAGAGTTATAAAACACTCGTCTTTCGTCAATTCTGTTTTATTCGACTGTTCGGGTTTCTTATCAACCGTTCCAACAAATAGAATATCCGGATCTGTATGCATTTGATCAATTCCATGTACTTTTCTTGAGCGACAACACTTCGCAAAATGATTTGGTTTTCTGCATGCATGACAGACTTTGCCATATGCTGGACATTGCTTGCTTGGATGGTCTCGCCCGCATTTGCTACATTTTATTACTTCGCTCGAACCGCTCGAGGATATCTTCTGTTTTTCTCGCCCAAATTTCGCTGGTCTGCTTTCATTATTCCCTTTTCTTGAACTTTTCTTCACTGAACTTATCACACCTGACACCATGTTATGTTTATACATCCGTATGTATAACATTTATTAGACTAACACTAATGCGAGTACAGCAACTCTTATATAGCTAAGTTTATACATAAATTAACATATTAAACAATAATACAACACAAGCGTTGACATATTCTGCTAACATGCTGTTCCCATGACAGAATGTTGCTTATTCGAACACCGAGATAGTCAAATGTAGTGACCACATCAAGGATCTCATTGTCCAGATAGATTTCAATATCATTTGCCTTTTTCAGTGCATGCCGTGACCCAATTACCATAGATTTTGTCTTTTTGGCATTTGGAATCATTTTGTTGTCTGCCAACCATTGGTCCACTCGTTTGAGATCTTTATTCATTTGCGACTGAGCTACATCAAGATTAGGATGTGAACAATGCGTTTCAATATCGTCCGCATAAAGAGATGGTCTTGAAGAGAGGAAGGTGTGGACTATTGGATTGAAAAGCAAACAAAACAGCGAGGGACCGAGCACAGAGCCCTGTGGGACGCCTTAATTTATTGGTAACTGTTGAGATTGGACACCATTGCACACGACATATTGTTGCCTGTCAGTTAGATATGAGCAGATCCAATTAGCCTCGGTTTCCCCAAACCCATATTTACTTAATCTCTCCAGAAGAACACGATGATCAATAATATCGAACGCCTTCCGCAAATCGATAAAGAGTGAATATTGTTTTTGATCCATGCCACATACAGTGAGTTTCTGCAGGGAATCTATGACTTGAATTAAAGCTGTCAATGTCGAGCTGTGTTTTTTGTACGCGTACTGACTGGGTTCGAAGAAAGTTTGGAATTCCTGGTCATGTTCATTCATCTGGTTATTTACACACGATTCACATATCTTGGATAAGCAGGGTAAAATTGATATTGGTCTGTAATTATCTCGATTTGTAGCTATATTTCCCTTGAAAATAGATGAAATTTTGGCAATTTTCCATCTATTTGGAAAAACTCCAGTCTCCAAGGAACTATTGACTATACATGCACGACAGACTTTGAGAAATACAGTTCGAGGATATCTTAAGGATCTTCGCCGGGACGTTATCATTCCCAGTAGCTTTGTTGGGATTTAAATTAGCCAACATATTGGAGATTTCAACATCAGTTGTTGGACGGAAATGGAATTTGGTTCACGAGGAACTTTCCAATGATGAGGGGAACTGGGATGGTGGATCATAATTGGAGTCAAGGTTGAAATTAGAAGCCGTCGTTGTGGGAGATCTGGCAGAAAGGAGATTTGTAGCGACCGATGTAAAATGTAAGTTCAGAGAATCGCTAAGGGATAACGAGTTTATCCATTTTGGTCGTTCGATTCTTCGGTGGAAGTACTTTTTTCATTAGTTTCCAAAAGGCTTTTGGATCACCGCGGCAGTCGTCTAATTCAGTGTGTTGGAAAAAGTCGGAAGATTTGGCTTTACGCAACCCGCCTGTGACACAATTCCGAAGACACATTTGTAGATGTTAAAGTCCTCGACCGATTTAGTTTTTCAAAGCCTTTTTACGAGCTTGGTCTCTGTTACGCATCAAAACTAGTACACTACTGTCTATCCACGGATACGAGTTCTTCCTAATTCACTTACGTCTCATGGGAAAGAAAATGGGGCTTCGGTGGCGAAGTGGTTAGCGCACTTGCCTTTCACCCCCCAGTATAAACACGAAGCTCTAAGAAGATGTTCTGTGACTAGTTGATTAAGACAAGGACAAAAGACGTAATTGGTTTACAAAAACAAAAGGAATATTGTTCTTGCTTCGTTCTTTAGAAAGTCCATTCTATAGCTTATTCTTTTGTCATTGTCATAATCAACCAATCACAGAACATCTTCCTAGAGCTTCGTGCCGACCCTTCACCTCCAAGGTCGCAGGTTCAAATCTCAGTGAGAACTTTCTCAATGCGATTCGAACCCAGTCCTCATGTAAAAAGAGTAAAAGTCAACGCTGTGCTGAAAGTCGTGGGTTTCCTCTGGGTACTCCGGTTTCCTCACACAGGGAAAGTTCACAGGGTGGGTTAGGTAAAAGGGCTCACAGTAATTGGCATTGGCTCACAGTGGTGACCCTGCCCTAGTTGGCAAAGCTAAATAAATAAATATCCATGACTGGCGTAAAAAGTTTCTCCCAAATGAATAGCTTGTCGTTAGGGTCGTCAAGCATGTTCATCGTATCCCATATATTACTTATAGCGTTTCGGAGCTGTTGACCTGAAAAGTTGGGTAGAGGATGTTATCAACAGATCGATAAGTGATTCGGAGGAGGCAGTTGATCTTGTCGGTTCAGGTATCAGTTGTGTTAGGTTTGTAGTTTGTGGAGCAGATTCGTCAAGGCAGTCACAATTGAAGTCACCCATTATAATTATCTGTTTATCTAATCTGATAGAGCTTCGCGCGTGATATCGTCAAGATAATCAATGAAAGGCTCGACAGGTTGTTTAGGAGCTCGATATGCGCATATTAGTAGGCAGGGTAGATTAAATATAAGCAAGGTCCAAGGATAACGAGTAAAATCGTGAGGAGAATTGCTAATACTACAATTCCAACAAGATATTTTTCGTCCGTGCCTGAGAAGGGAGGTGGCCAAGTGATTAAAAAGATTACAGAACGATGTATTAAACAATTTTTGAAAAAGAAATTAAATTATTACAATAAAATTAAGAAAGCGAGATTACCTGCATCTTTTAGTTTTTGGACCCAAATTGTGCGAGTAGTGCTTCCAAACCGATCTCGAATATGACAAATGCTGTATATTTTCCGAAACTTGTTTGATCTTTCACTGTTACAAGTAAAGAACTGCGATGGGGCTTGTCCTTTTCCATAAAACTTTCCAGTGGTTTCTGGTTTCCCCCCAGCTGAAGGTTCACCTTGAGCAGAACACAGCAGGTTGACAAGATCACCTTCCTGTGCCTTTATGTCACCGCTGGACGTCTTTATCAATATACTAGGGCTACCTGGGGAACAAAACCAAGAAATATTTGATGATTGCAATTTGGATTCCAATTCCTGTTTTTCCATAATATATTGTAAATAATAATTTTTAATCCTTTCATTTTCTGTTTTCCCTAAATCAGTTATATTTTATCACATAGCTGAAACATGCTGTATACTTCGTTATGGTGGCAGCAGATATCTAACCCAAATATCAATATGAAATTACTTGAAAAGTTTACCTGTGTATTCTCTCGTTTCTGAAGCAGGACTCCAGTCTGTGGAGTGAGTAATAATCACCCTATAGTAAAAAAGTGATACACGTTTCCGGAAAGTATGTCACCTTGGCTATAGACCCTCGTTCTCGTGATTCATATATTACAGTATATATTTTATAATACAACACAAGCCGTTAAAATGAAGAATGAAAAGACAAAATACTTTGAAATAATTTAATAAATTGTTTCTAAATTTTAACTTCTGCATGTTCATTACGGAAATATATTTACATCATAAAATTCATTGTCCTAAATTACGGCTATATGTGATGAACATCACGTCCAAACAAATCTGAAGTACTGCATGTGGTAAAAACATACACACATAAACATGCTCACATTTTTACAATAGAAATCCTCTAGTGCTTTCAAAAAGCAAATTGAAATAAAATTCAGAATTGGAATAACACCAATAAAATTAAATAAATAACACTACTATTTTCATATACAGTACAACGTCAAAAATATTTTCGCCATGTAATTCAACAACTATAGAGTAAACAGCTTGTAAAGATATGAAGATCAAAGAATAGGCCCTTCCAAGGTTAAGGACGCCATCTTGAATATATTGTTTTCACCACTGTTTGCACACCCTGCAAATTTACTTAAAGGGAATTCCATTGTGTTTGTACCCCTTGGCGTCGTTAACCTTGAAAGGGTCTATTGACCTATAACTGTATGAAAATCAAAGAGAGATAGGAGAAACCCAAAAGGTTTCTCAATTTTTTCTCTACACTCGCGATACAACCACAATTCACCATGCAATTTAAGAATTAGTATGAAGCAGTTTAGTTTTGAATGAGAGAATGCCTATATGTATAACTGTAGACTGTACAACTGCTTCCTAAGATTTCTGGCTCATTGTTAAGCTATTTCATTTCTGGAAAATTCATTGCAACAATGCAACCATGTGACCTATGTGTGATTATTGAAAGAAAACATTGTTACAAAAGCAGCTGATCGGCCATGCATGGTTTGAAAAGTGGCTTTATATAGGGTGTAAAGGCCCGTTCAAATCTTAACCAGTCAAACATCATCCAACATTGTGGATGCAAAATTGTTGCAATGGGTTTGGTTTTAACACTATGTTTGGTAATGTTGGCTGATCTTGGACAAGGTTTGTATATGAAAGTCTCTTGATCGAAACAAGATAAATTTGCGGTTTTGATCGACATCTTGTCTGTTTTACTCTTTCAGCACAGTGTTAATTGCAAATAATAATTGACGATCTAGATTAATTTCGCTGTTACCACAGCCTCTTCAGTAGTACGCCAATTGTTTTGGATAGGTTTGAATTGTTCAAAATTTTCATCCAACATAATTTACCATTTTTGCGTCAACAATGTTGGCTGTGCTGAAATGGTTTGAATTGGCTTCAAGACGCCAAATTTCGTATAGTTGTATAAACTCTCAAAATTCTGCTGCGTGTAAAAATCACTGTTTCTAAAACATCATTATGCATTAAAAACATTGTAACTATAAACAGAATTTCCTAGTTTTTCACGCTGACTATGGACTAATAATTGCTTCAAGCGATGCTTATCATAGTATACTTTTAGTTCAGGACGTCTAAAACTCATAAAACAGCAAACGTCTACTTCTATAACATCAATCGCGGATCACCGCTTTTCCAATTAATAAAAATATCTTTCCGTTCCAAAATTCATGTGCCATCATAAATCTTCTTGCTCTCTTCAAAATACGGTGGATGAATTGAGATACCCTATCTATTGAATACCAAATGTGCTGGTTTCTTCAACAGCAAGTGTTAATTTTTCTTGAAGTTCATTATAATTTTGGTAGGCTGGTAAATCAAGACGATTGAAACATGTATGTGCCCTGAAAACACAAATATATGTGGGTTACCAATTGAATTATAATTTACAATCTGTCATTCTGTGCCCACCCTTTCTAAGTTGCACACAGAATTCAGTATTAAAGTATCAGAGTAATTTAATGAAAATATCATTGTAGTTCCCTCTTACTTAGAGAAACAGTTACAAACATAAATGGTTATAATTATTAGGGGTGCACCGAACAAAGCATTTTACTATCCTGCCGGATACCGGATATGTCGGATAGTTGAAAAATATCCGACCGGATATCGGATATTGGTTATATTACGTTCAGGCCTAATCATTCAAGGTTAAATAATTATTTTATTTAGTTATAAAGTATGGTGTTTATAATATATCGACTTGAAATCAGGGCATTTTTTAAGAAATTACAACTACTGGGGCAAAGTCTCAATGAGGGCCTTTTCCCCACACAGTTACGCGCGCATAAAGATAATCCTGTGCTAAGGGTTGGCGCTAGCCTTAAATTTTGCCGACTCATTTCAAACGCTAATTAATATACCTCTCCCCAAAATTGTGGGGGAGGGGAGGGGGACGCTAATTAATATTCCTTTTCCATTTTTAGTTACAATTATTCTCCAAATGTTAGCTGCAATTGTTATGTAAAAATCAGTGTCACTCAAATATTTTAGTTTCTTTCCTTCCTATCCATCTTGGATTAGATAATTTGCCCAATACCTGACAACTGGTGTGTTCCACCCCACACACACATCCTTACCAACGCTCAGGCCTGTACTGACTTATATAAGATGAAATATTTAGAATGTGAGAGGATATAAAAAAGCAGGCAGATGAAGCTTTTTCAACAAGGTTGACTTTTTACTAATGATTAAAAGGGCCCAGCTCATTTGAAAATCATGCTTCACTATTGGGGCAAGCAAAGGGCCTACTGGGGTGAATGCCCCAGTAGTTACATAGTTAAAAAATGTTCTGCTTGAAATGGTAGGAAAGAACATAACACTGCAACATCGATAAACATTCAAACCCACTTTTTCGCATTTGGAGCGAGCATGAAAAATCTTGAAAATATCGCCAGCTTCTCTACGATCATTTCAAGTAAAAATATGATAGATAGATAGATAGATAGATAGATAGATAGACTCGTTCTTTTTAAACCGTATTGCATCATTTTTAACCTGAAAAGAAGGTCTGAACCTCAAATAAACAATATCCGGTATCCGGCTAGATATTTTACATATCCGACAGGATAATGAATGAGATTGTGTCACTATCAGGCCGGATATGATATCCGGTAAGACTGGATTAACTATCAATTTGAGTTGAATTGTGGAATGATCTTCCTGAGTCCATTCTAGATGTTGTGAATGTCTAGAAGTCTTTAGATACTACTCAATCTGGAGTCAAAGCAGGATAATCTTGCCATTATTTGTTATTTTAAATATTTCACTTTCTCTATGCGCAAGTACGAACAATACAACATTTACAAAGAAAAAGTTTTTTGTCAAGCCAAGCAAGCAATATTACATTGATTCATGGACGAAAATATCTGAACTGTTGAGCAACTAATACGGATTGACCAAGAGAAGAATGCTATACATGCACCACATGCCTGCCTCATGCATGTACATACTAATTTGGTTTCCATTTCTAAATTTCAGTATTTTTCTCCTACCTAGGTAACATTGTGTGGTTGCCCCATTTCTCTATACAAAACTTTCGTAGTCCAGTGCTTCCACGTAGTGCAGCGAATCCTTCATACGGGACACTTGATGTTCCAGTGACAAACTATAAATCACGTGAGTTAATATTAGGAATTTCAAACAAATTTGTGCATGCAAGGTATGAATCAAATTCAAATATCTTGAGAATGAAAAGAGATGGAGAAAACTTGTAAGAAAGCTTATCCTACAGTCTGTGAGTTTTTCTATCTAAATAAACGACTAGCCACTAGTAGATCCTAAATCCTTTTAAACATTCTTTTTAAACATTTCCTTGTACACATTCTTTTTAAACATTTCCTCTTAAACAGTTTTTTAAAACATTTCCTTTTAAACATTTTTTTTAAAATACTCTTCTCATGCACTAAAAAAATGGGCGTCCTTCCAGCTGAATAAAGAAATGCCGGAAAAAGAAAGCAAGAAATGCAAGAAATGCAAGAAAAGCCTGATGTTGGCATTAACAGCAACCACGAAATGAGCCCACGTACTATATACTTAATAGTACATGTATATATAGTTTGTAATTGTAAAATAGGAAAATACAGAATACCTGAAGAAGTCTTAGTCTTTGTTCATTATCAAAACTATTTACTGCTTGCCAGAACCATCGAATAACTTTATGGTTTGGATGATAACCTATAACAACGAAATTATATATTAGCCTAATTTAGCATAATAAAGAAGCAATCAACTTCTGTAAGGTGAGCGTTTGTAAGCAGAGCATTTGACATGCATGTGTTAGACTAACGCCCGTATTCTAAAAGCTCAATCACACTCACACTCAATGAGTGGAGGTTCAATCTGAGCTTCTATTGAGTCTCAATGGCTGGAGGGTGAGTAGTCACCGAGTAAGGTATGACACTAGCCCTCCAGCTATTCAAAAACAGCATTAACACTCAAGAGAAGCTCAGATTGAACCTCCACTCATTGAGTGTGAGTGTGCTTTTAGAATAAGGGCGTAAGACAGTCTGAGCAAGACTATATGTTCAACATGATTGGCTGAGATAATGCACCAAAGAAAACCATGAGCGTGAAGGAGTTTGCATATCTGACACAAAATCATGCTGATTTACATAAAACGTTTTAAAAGTTCAATTTTAACTTGACGAACGTTCTCATCAAGACGTTTCACAAGCCATTTACAACATTTACGTCCGCCCGATACAACACGGCCCAAAGAATAAACGTTCGAATAATCGTTCTCTGGCAAAGAATATGCCAGAGACAGAGAACGATTCCTCTCATAAAATAAAAAGACCGTTGTATCTTTTTCTCAAATAAACGTTTGCTAAAATTCAACACAGTTTACCAAATGTATATCAATAGAGGATTTAGATGTTTTGAGTGTTGGAGATTCAGCTCTTTATACTTTTAAGGTTGACTATAGACTTCCGCTCAAGGGTTTTTATTTGGGAGTTATAAGAGACCGATCATTATTTATGGTGGTGGAGGGTGTACCGAAGAGAAATGTTTTTCTTGATCCTACCATAAAAAAGTCAGAATTTCTCTTTATCCAACCTCAAATACCAATTAAAAAATAAATATTCACCCCTGGCCAAAAACTTTACAAAAGGATACCATTCAATTGTCACACATGTTTACCACTTCTGTGAGATTATTTTGATAACTGCAAGTGCAATTTTCTGCAGTGTAAAGTTTCATGTTGTTTGCACACGTACTTTCTTTGGATCGGAGACACCGTTTGCCTCCTGACAAAGCGAGAAATGATCATGATGGTACATATTGTATTGATACAGTATATGACTGTTGACATTGCTTTTTAGTCTTCACTATTTGTGTGAGTCATGCTTTGAAAATAGGAATTACCCAACCCTTGAATTGTTTTGTTTTTCATTTACCCAACTTTTACTCATTCAAAATTTTGTTCACGCAACCCTTTTCTTTTCGGTGCCCCCCCCCCCTCCCCACCATAGATAATGACCAATACCTAAAAGGGCGCGCGAAAATGCGTACGGGAGAAATGTTATGGTTGATGAGTGTAAGCAACAATGGTTAATCCTATATAGTTCAAAGATTTTTATCCAAACTTCAATCTTACCTGATCGATACTCCGTATGAGAAAACCAGTCATTAACATCAATATCTGCTGTGCCCGATATTAACAGTTCAAGCTCACACGCATCAAACATTGAAACTAAGTCATAATCTATGATCTAAAAACGATAAGAAACATACTTTAATTAAGCCAAAATACCAGTAGATTATCAGCTTAAAATTAGAGAAAATAATAAAACTCTTTACTACTTATTCATATCTTGCTTTGTTAATACAAAATCTTTCAATTCGACGTACTTCATAAAATCCTTTCAGAATACTTTTTCTTTGGTCTGAAACTCCACGATCAATCCTCCAGTTTGACATCAATTCAACGTAGCCTAATTTATTATCTTCAGTCACTCGGATATCTCTACCACCGGGTAGTAACTCACGCTCATTTACCTACGACATAAGATACAGTTTGTTACTCGATGTTCGTTACTATAAATTCGCCAGAAATGTGTTTTTAAAGGGTTAGTTGTTTGTCAGTCATGCACGAAATGTTTTCGGCAAGACTTGTTAAGGCTGTTTTCTGCTCAAGTTCTATCTGTGTATAGCGTTTAATTAAAGGCTCTTTTCCACTCCAATCGTAAACACCAGCTCGTCGAGAGTATTTGCATCTAATTAACGTAAACTGTTGATCAATATGATTGGCTGCGAGTACTCGCAGCGAGCTTTGGTATTTACGATGAGTGGAAAAGAGTCTTTAAACGCTATAGACGGATACAACTTGCCTCCAATCCCTGTTGACTCGGTAGCTTAATAGGTAGAGCTGTGGATTTATAGGGATACAACTACCTGAAAAATACAAGCAGAAGCATTCTCGTACCCAGAGCCCTTCTTACGCGCGGTGCGACGAGGGGCTCTGGCCAAATCCATATTCCGAACTGGCATCTGATTGGCTAGTTCTAACACCGGACATTGTTTTCTTACCATGTTTTTATGGTATCTGGTTATGGATTTGGCCAGAGCCCCTCGTCGCAACGCGCGTAAGAAGGGCTCTGGGTACGAGAATGAAGCAGAAGCTACTAACTTCCCGACGAAGGGCCTTCGCTCATCGAAGTTCTGCTTGTATTTTTCAGGTAGTTGTATCCCCTCAATCGATAGTTTTTTTTTATCGTCACTACCTACACTGGTGCAGACCGTTAGAGATTATATGATAGGTAAAGCGGCAGACCGGAGTCCCAAAGGTACGAGTTCAAACCCCGCCTCGTCCCCAGGACCTCTCGGCCGAGCGCGGACGAGAATGGTTCAAACCCCGCTCGAGTCAGCTGTTACGGTTGACTTCAGTAGTGTAAGAAATCATTCATGTTGGAAATTTCGTCTTTATGTTTCTCTGAGGGGGGTTCTGTGAAAAGCTCATGCTAGTTTACTGTGTATCATATACAGTATATTTGCTGTGTTTCGGCAAAATCAAGTCCACTTCCTTAGTACGCCCCGGAGGCTTAACAGATATCTTACGGTATGGAAAATTGCCCTGATGGATATGAGAATTGATTTATTTATTTTAATATTTAAACAGGAACATCCAATTTAGCCAAGGCTAGTTTAAATGGAGTCCTGCATTAAATTTAAATTAGTTACAAAATATACTATATTAATTACAATATACATAAATAGAATGTTAACAAAATATACAATATAGGACACATACATAGACATGGTACATTAAAACATATAAATTAAAGTTGACATATAGACTTTCATGATCGATAATGGCGCTTGGCCTTAATCTTAAATTCTTTGATATTATTTGACATCCTTATCTCTTTAGGTAGTAAATTATAAGTGCGAGCACCATTTATACGAAAACTCCCTTGATATTTGGTGGTCTTAGCTAAAGGAATGCGCAATAAGTCACGGTGTCTTGTGCGATATGCGTGAATTGCACTTGCATGTACAAATTCACCAATCAGATATTCTGGTGCTAAACCATTCAGGGATTTAAACACCAGGATTGATTTTTGGTAGTCTCGGCGTTTCTGTAAATCATGCCAGAGAAGAACGTCTGGTAATTCTGTGCACTCTACAACTCTGCCTTCAATTATACCGGCAGCCCGCCGATGGAGTTTCTGCAGGTAAGCTTTACTACCTAGGCCACAACTATCACAAACATTACAACAGTAATCAAACAGAGGTAAAACTATAGCATCATAAAGAGTCATGCAAGCATTCCTAGGTAGAACTTTGCGTGCTTTGCGTAGCAAGCCTAAACGAGAAGAAATCTTTTTCCCTGTGTACTCAACATGCTCAGTTTCCAAGAAAGATTTTGATCTAGAACAACTCTTAGGTATTTAAACTTTTCAACCCTTTAAGAACACGGCCGTTGCCATGAACTGTGAAATCACTAACTGGAGCAAGTCGTTGATGAGTACCTATCAACATCAGTTTTGTTTTGTCGAGATTCAAAGATAAATAATTACCACGTAACCAACAAGTAATATTAGCCAGGTCTAACGTTAAATTATGTTCGATAGTTGAAGCCGAGTCACTGGTAAAATAGAGAAGAGTGTCATCAGCATAGAGAATAATGGTGACATGATCATACCTGCCCGCCTAATTCTTCATTAACAGTAAATGACAAGTCAAGAGAAACATCAGTAATGTCGCTCTCCATTATCCACGCTAAACTTTGGTGAAACAGAGCGTCTAGAGCTTCCACGTCTCTCAGATCACAGGAGCTAACGAAAAAATGAAACATTCAGGGACGATAGTACTATATACGATATTGAAAATCATTAATATGGGAACAATGGAATTTCAAAACAATGAAAAGAGAATGGAACATTCCAGTTACCGGTACTAAATGTCTGCTTTCCGGTCATGCAATAGACATTAGGCAAAAAAAAGAAGAAAACTTCACTAACATGCAGGGCTTAAAAATATATACACTGTATAAAACATAAAAAAAGTGATAGAAAATACTGATAAATTACATCTAGCTTCAATATAGCTTAGTTGTTAAGTGATTGTTAAAGATCGCTGATGGACGACGAAAATGCAACTCGAAATAACACAAATATATACAGGTATAGTGTTATAAATAGTATTAATAACAAATCACCTTTTTAACAGCAGTTTGTAGAACGGTCTTGTAAAGAAAGCGTCCAATAGATGTTGATGAATAATCACCAGGGCAATAATACGACCGCTAAATCTATACCTGAAGAAAACAACATACGCAGATTTTAGAAAAAGGCATTATTTTCAGAGAAGAAATCAGATCGCGTGACAATATCAACTCAGTTTCGTTCCGTTCAATCATTACATCAATCACTAATTAACACTGACGTGCAGTAATATACAGTATATACTTTAATAAAAATATGTTAAAATGTATGATAAAAATATAAATGAATCTTACCAGTCGTGAGCATTATCAACGAAAGACGACATAGCACTTATATGAAGAGTGTATGTATCTTGAGCAGAATATTCAAACAATCCATAATATGGATTAAACAACTGACGTGATATTAGGAAGAAAAATTCTCGTTGAGGACCACCATAATCAAGCCTTTATAAAATTCAGACATACATGAATGTTTAATGCATTATTCATGAATGAATGAAAAACTGTTTGAAAGGTTGAAAACAATAGAGAAAAATACAGTAAAGTAAAATCATGGCAAAGGAGGAGAAATATAAAGAAGTGTGCAAATAAAGAGAAAACCAATGAAAATGAAAAAAATGAGACCATTAATCTTTTAAAAACAATGAAAATAGAGAATGTTCGAACAGGATTCATATGATTATAAGTTAAGCAGACGCTCTAGTGCCCTGCAGAGGTTTTGCAGGCTACAGCTTAAGCCAAACAGGAAACTCCCTGATCCAGGATAACGCTCTAGCGTCTGGTCGTAAATTTTATTCTAACAGGCTTTCGATCACCTAAGTTGCATTTTCAACAGTTTAACGCTACTCAAACCAAAGAGTTAATTTATGCACGTTTATTAAGTGCAATTAGCACAATGATGCCGTGCTGATTTCCTTTGCAGTTTGCTCATTAAAATATACATAAATATATACTCCATTACTAACCCTTCTTCACCAGAAAATTTCACTTCCAATTTGCTGTTTTGAAGAGTTTTGGGATTTTGTTTCATTAATTGATCAAATGCGTCTTCTAGGATATGTTCACGACGAATGACCAGTCTGCAGTAAAAAGGATTTGGATAATAATAATTTATTTTTTATCATCAAATAAAAGCCGTTGTATATACTAAAATGTTTCATAAAATATGAAAACGTACAACTTCTGCGGTGCTCAACATCCAAATGGAATCAAATCACTTGCTGAGTAATTATTTTCCGAATACCCCATCAGGAAATCATACCCAAGATCTCTCGTTTAAAATACCAGCGCTCTAAGCACTGACCGGCGATTTAGACAATCAAGTAGTTATTGTATATGTATTATGTATGCATTGAATGCAGGATATCTAACCCAGATATATACCACGTATATATATATATATATATCTAATGGACTGCTACAAATCGAGCATTCCATAAGCTTATTGGTCAGGGTGCTGGTACATTAGATCAAATATATTGGGTTCGATTTCCGGTTGGGGCATTCAGTAATCAGTTTTTCTTCAAGTGATCGATTCCATTTGGACACCAGAAATTTTGCGATTCCTACACTTTCAGGTGAGGACAAGAAATTGTATTACAAACTTACTGTATCTTATTCGGTCCTTGTCCCAGTCCTTTATGAATAATGTTTTTATGAAATGATTTAACCTTGGCTTGAAAATCACGCTTATATGGCGCAGGTTTGGACGTCTTTCGGGAACTGGGACCTGAAATACAAGAGCAACCAATAATAAGCAGTGGACGAGTAATTTGCGATCATAAATACCTAAGACTTTAAACAAGGTATAGCCATTAGGAAATAATTCATATTTAAAAATTATAACTCATATTATTCCATGCGAACCTCGATCCCAGAGCCATTTTTAACATGCGAGAAAAACAACTTGGCCAGTCAAAGCGCTAATTTTCACACGTTTAAGAAAACACTAAAGGCAGATTTAACTTTAGACAAGAGGAAATCTGCTTTGGTGGAGTGTCCAATAAAGCATACTATTGCGTCGGACGACCCTGAAATAATCACGGCTAACAGTTGTTATGGATGTTGCATAGAAGCATGGCATATATTAAAGCATAAATCTTCATGCTATGAATCTTAATGCTTCCAATAGAGATGACGGTAGGCGGTAGCAATCTCCAACAAGAGTATCTCCACCTTGTTGACCGATGACGTCATCGAGCATTCTTTAGATTAACCCTGATGAACACACTAGACCGGAGTGTGGAAACGTTGTCGTTGGGTCGTGAATGTAATTAGACCAGCTTTACATCCGTTTACTTAAGCCAGTGTAGCCAGCGAAAACATCCCTGATATGAAACATGGCTGCCGTGAACAAACGAACTTCAAATATATATCTACATACATTCAATCATTTGAAGAATTTTTGTAGATTGAAAATTTGATGGGAAAGTACATACAATTTTAGACCTAACCAGGAGCAGTTGCGAAAAATGCAACGATAGGCCCTCTGATAGGAATTGAACCTGTGCCCTGCGATCCCTCTGATAGGAATTGAACCTGTGCCCTGCGATCCCTCTGATAGGAATCGAACCTGTGCCCTGCGATTCCGGTACAGCACTCTACCCAGCTACAGAGTCCGGTTGTCGATGTATACTGTATATATCGTGGCTGATGCCAGTATATATAAGGTATGAAAAATCTCGATATTTATCCGTACATTCAATCATACCTGGGTCATCGTGCCCATTGTACACGTTTCGCTTTTTCTCAGATGCTGCAGGTATTTGTTGTTTTGAATCTGGCAACCATGATACAATGTCGTCTTCACACAAACTGAACAATAAAATCACAAAAAATATGAAAACAATGTGTAATAATTAAAGCTCTGGGCTAAATCTCTTCTCAGATGTTTCGCCGTTGTGCACCAAAGGAAGCAAAACTGTTTGCCAACAATTTAGAACAATAATGAATGTTGTTCTCCAAGTATGATTTTTGATGCCCAAACATTTTCCATGTTAGCCGCCAATATTCAGAAAACATGGCTAGGAAATAATGTTATCTGGTTTGACCAAGGCTATAACCAATAGATTTTAAAGTAGTGCAGTGATACATACAGTTACCGGTGGAGTTACTTTTTCCCACCCCCAATTTTGGTAGAGCTACTTTTCTCCCCCTTGAGGCCAGTGAAGAGGGCTTGCTGACTCGGTTCCTGCATTTTCATGATAAAATTCTTGCAATCAACAAAGACAATTTCAAACGTTTTTAAAAATCTCATTCTTTTGAGTTTTAAGCTTATTCTTGGTATTTCTCTCTTATTATTCTCCTCTTCTCTCGTTCAGGACACTTCCTCCGTCCCCACCTTCCAAAGGGTACTTTTTCCACCCCAAAGAGGGGTCAAATGGTAACTATAACACCCATGGGGTATAGGAAACGTTGACCCAGTGGGAGGTCATGCATTTGCTTTAACGAAAACATGAAGATTTAAAAATCATAGAACCAAGAAAGGGGCATACCTTAACAAGACTATTAAATCCACATTATCGGATAGAAGTCTCAACGCTCGTTGACCATCTCGTCGGATTTTATCAACACTGCACCTAAACATAGTTTATTAACGAGAACATAAAAACATAACCATAACCATAACCATAAACAATAACAATTATCCACAATCATCACCGTCAACCATAGCAAGCAGCCTAGTCCCAGTCGTTCTGAAGCAAGCGCGAGAAAAAAGTGGATGAAATACGAGACTGGGACCTAGGGGTGACGTCACCGCTCAAGGTGCTTCAGAACGCCTAGCAGATTTCAGTATTTTTAATATGGCGGAAAATTTATATATACAAGTAACTTTTAATTATAAATACGATAATGTTCGTTCATCATGTACATGTTCGATGTCTACATAACCAAATCAAACTGTATTAAAAATGTGCTCAACTAAAAAAAATTATATACAAATTTACGATACCGAGTTTGAGCAATCATTGATGTTATTTATGTATTCGCAAGTTGTGATCAACACTAGACCATACTGGTATACACAACTACGCTTTCTACTTGACAGGTTTAAATTGCTGATGAGATTGGAAATATTTGGCTGACATGACGGTGTTGTCAAAACATTCATAATCGGAGACTCGGCATAATTTTCAAGCTTCTAGATAGCATTTAATATGGCTATATATTTTAGTAAACACGAGTCATATGTAGCCCGTTATTCCATTCTGACCGTATGGCCGCGAAACGTAGCCCAGAGCATTAGAGCAAAACTAATGACTTAATTATAAATGCAAAGGAAATTTCCATAACATTTTCCATTTACAAATGAGGTATGCTTGGTAACCAGGCCAGGGGACTTATTTAAATATATCAAAGCAGCGAATAGAGAGAGAGAGCCTGGGACTAGGCTGGGTTTATCCCATTCTTGGTGAATTTTTTAAGCTGAAAACAGAAATTTAAATCCGGCTGGATTTTCTCCAAATCCGGCCGGAAGCCGGATGCCGGAAAATTCGTTAAATCCGGCCGGAATTCCGGCCGGATTTGAAATCCGGTGCACCCCTAAATTTTAGTTTAAAGAAGCTCCTCCCCATACCTAAATATATCATTACTTTTGTGCGAGAATTCTGGGTGTAAATAATTCCACAACCCTACATATAAATGGCCAAATATTTTTTTAATTTCTGGAATGGTACACACTTATATATTATTCAAATTAGTTTTCATCTTGTAGGATATATGTATAACCTGTCATTTATCTGACAAAGATTGTAAAATAAAATAAAATAAAAATAAGTTACAAAATACAGTAATCAAACTTTAGAAAAATCTCTTGGGCATAGCTCAGGACATCTAGTTTACAACATGAAATGGAGAACTTGAGCTTGTTGTTCAAGTTCAAAAATTCTCTTGAAAAATACATTGAAAAACTGGTAGTTAAAAAAATACTCACCCACTGGCCAATTAAATTACGTCGCTCCAAGAACACCTGAAAATAAATAGTACTTTTTTAAAACAGCTAACAAAGTAAGGATTATTTTTGTTGTGTTGGTGTTGTGTACTCAGGTGAATAAGATGCTTGTGATGTTACTCTGAGTGTATATCCACGCCGGGCGAGCTTGAAAAATATGCCTGGCCACGGTGGGAATCGAACCTACGACCTTTGGAATAGTAGCCCAATGCTCTGCCAATTGAGCTAAAAAATCATGATTATTAGATTACACTGATATTGAAGGAACTAGACTCTGCAGTTCCGAAATATCACATACTCGAACCGACCTGACCGCGTAGCTCAGTTGGTAGAGCATTGGGCTAGTATGCCAAAGGTTGTAGGTTCGATTCCCACCGTGGCCAGGCATATTTTCAGGCCTGCCCGGTGTGGATATACACTCAGAGTAACATCACAAGCATCAAAGTAAGGATTGCTAACAAAATTGTTTGCAGACAATATGGGGCTTAGGGGCTTCGGTGGCCAAGTGGTTAGCGCACTTGCCTTTCACCTCTGAGGCTGCAGGTTCGAGTCTCACTAAGTATACCTTCTCAGTGCGACTCGAACCCAGTCCCCATGTGAAAAGAGTAAAAGTCAACGCTCTGCCGAAAGCCGTGGGTTTTCCCCGGGTACTCCGGTTTCCTCCCACAGGGAAAGTTGACAGGGTGGGTTAGGTAGAAAAGGGCCCACAGTAATTGGCATATGCTATTGTGGTGACCCTGCCCTAGTTGGCAAAAGCTAAATAACAAATAAACAAATATTAAAACATTAGATATGGACAACAATATTAAAGTCAAAATTATAATTTCTATCCTTAATAGTCAATATCCACCGTTTTAATAAGAACAGTACTTGCACATTACCTGCGTAATGTTTAAATCCAAATTTTGTATTTATATACCGATATTTGGCTTATTTGTCAATTTGCCGGTGGCATACTGGCATATTTACTCAGTCAGTAGAGATTATATTTATATTAAACAACAAATATAGCGTAATAAATACAAATATTTGTACTTCTATATCTTTATTAAGTTTATTTAAAACTAAGACCTAAAAACCAGATTTACGCTAATTCAGCAATGTAAACAACTGTTAGACTTCAAAGTTCAAAAGAACTAACTTTATCCGATACAACATCGTCTACATTAGATTTCCACGCGCTCCGTGCACTAGTTTGATTCTTATAGCCCAGCCTATCATTCGACATTGTAATATACTTGCTTCGGTTGTACATTGGTTCTATATTTTGCTTTTTATTTCGTCGTGTTGACATTTCACTCCTTGTTCGGGTCGCCATGTTGGATTCCAATGGTGTATTCAATCGTGACTGTCGCTATGGTAACAGCGACAGGAATTGCCACTGAACTATATACATGGAAACAGTTCAAAAGACTACATAATTATACAGTATAAACACACGTAAAAACGCACAAGTTCAGTAACAAACCTGTAGCAGACTTGTAGCAATGCTGTTCCAACAACTTGTGAACAGGATGTGTTCGCACTGCTTGTTCCCATCATGTGGTTGACCATGGGCGTACCGGAAGGAAAAAATTAGGGGGGCGGAAAGAAAATTGCCCGACTTTTCGGGATTTTGCCCGACTAGTACCAAAAAATTTTTTCCGGAAAAATTTTTTTGGCGACCTCTCCCCCCCCCCCCCCCCCCCCCCAA